GTAAATCCGGGATTTAAGCCGTAAATCCGGGATTTACCGAATCCCGGGGTTTAACGCGCGCACAAAAACGGTTTGGCTGGATTTAGCGTGAATCCGACTTAAATCCCACTATAAATCCGATACCAAACAGCCCCTAAATCCTGCCAACTAGTAAGAGGGCTGTTTAGCAACAGGATTTATGCTAAATCCTGCCAAATGGAAATTTTTTTATTTTATTTTTTGGTAAAAATGAGGGCATAGCTCGTTTTATTAAAAACAAAGCAGCTTACAGATAACCAAAAAGAAAATACATAACAAATCAGCCTAATAACAAGCTACCAAAAAGAAGTAAACAAGAAATATAAAGCTTTTACAGTACAATAGAAATAAAAACCAATCGTTCGTAAAATCCTTGTCTGTCTGAAGCAGCTTTCCTTCAACGGTTCCGAGAATAGTAACTCGGCTGGGCACGTAACAATTGTCTGAATTCAGATAGACGGTATGGCTGGATGGTTTGTAGTTTGGCTGGGCTGGCTTGGCTGGGACTCAGAAAAAAATAAACTTTCATAATCCCACTTCCCAATCTTCTTTGGTTGCCACTAAGGCCGTCCAAAAGAAGAAAAGCAGATGTTCATCATTGTCCGCAGCACACAAATCTGCTAAATAGATCTTCTCGAAGGCAGCAAGATATCTCCAGGTCGCTCACAAAAAGGATCGAGCATCAAATAATGATACCAGCAATCCATAAATCTCAGATGAGATATAAATCTTCAAATACTTCAGCATATGTGGGTTGGCATCAGGCCATTAATATCGAACCCATAACAATGATCAACTAAGAGTTTAGTAAATAGAATGTCCATACAGTTTGTCCCAAACTATCAATTAGAGACCATAACTTCCTACTTACAACCAGAAAAAAGGAGCCTCCTCAGTAGTAATCCAGATTCAAAGCTTCTTTCACCTCATTGCCATTTTTCCATCCCATCAGCTTGATAGTAATATTTTTAGAAATTTTCTTTATCAGAGTATTTGCACATAAAGTGGAGGACTTGAACCTTCTATTATTCCTCTCAATCCAGATATAATAAATGACAGCATTCAAAATAAGAAGGCAACCAGACTTGATCATTTTAGCCTTATCCATATTATCAATATGAAGGAGGGCTAAATAAACAGTAGGCCTAAAATAATGTGTCTGGAATGAAGGAATAAGCTTTACTAACACATTAAAAGAATAGTCACATTCAAATAACATGTGTGAAATAGTCTCCAAATTATTATGACATAAATTGCAAATGTTATCTTTGACCTGGATATTCCTAGCAGCCAAAACGTCACACGTTTTTAATCCCCCTCTTAGCGCCATCCAAGAGTAAACAGAATACCTCATTGCATGTTTTTTATGCCAAACCAACTGATGCCAATCATACTGGATTTCATTCGCAAAATAATAAAGATAAAAATCTTTAAACTTAGCATTATCCTTCTTGTCCCATCCTACATGATTTTTTCCGTCAGTAACAATGTGCATATTCAGGATAAAATTCCTAAGAGAGGAATTAACAGTGTCTGGAATATACCAAACCCCATTAATAATCCAGCTCGCCAGCTGACTGGCATTAGCTAATTCTATGTGACTATTTTGAAAATTTTCAGAGATAGTATTTCCCAAACACCAATGGTCCCAAAGAATTGAAATAGGATTATTGTTAGTAATATAAAAATTGAATTTCTCCCTTGTCGCTACAGCAGTATTACAAATGCTTTTCCAGAACATCGTCGCATAAGCTGGAGCAGGTTTCCAAGGAGATGAATATCTAGCTAGCATCCACTTAGAAAGTGGGGAGAAAGAATTGTAACATCTCAGAATAGTATTGCAATTGTAAGCAAAATTTAACGCTTGAAAAGAAGCAATACCCAGTCCACCCAAATAATACGGTTTACACGTATTTTTCCAAGAGATGAGGTGAATTTTTTTTACTTTCTATATCCCCATGATATAAAAATTTAGAACATAACTTTCCTATGGTCTTGTAGATAGACTTAGGAATAATCATGCTCCTAATCCAATACGCCATAGTGTTAATAATGGTATATTTAATGAATTGCAACCTGCCAGCAAATGAGAGTACCCTAGCCTTCCAACCCGAAAGTAACACCGTAATTTTCTCCAAGAGAGGAGCAAAGTCAGAAATCTTTGCCCAAGTAAGAGAACTTAGTAGAAACATTGTGGATTTGCAACTCATTTGAAATGTCATTTGGATTAGAAACATGGGGTGAAATAATAATAGAACTTTTCAGTAAGTTCAACTGCAACCCAGTTAGTTTAAAGAATAAGCTAATAGTTCTCATAAGCTTAGCACAATTATTTGAATCAGCCTTCCCAAATACTAAAAGATCATTCGCATAAGTAAGATGAGACAGTTGAAAATTTTCCATTTTGAATCCCTCAAAGCCATTAGCATCAGAATTATAATCTAATAGGCAGGAAAGCGCATCCATGACGATACAAAATAAAAAGGGACTAAGAGGACAACCTTGTCTTAGTCCGATTGAAGAGGAAAAAAATCCTTCCATCGATCCATCCAGGCAAATTGAGAAATGGATGTCATTAATACAAGCTTTGATCCAATTAATAAAAATAGAGGGAAAACCTTTATCAGCCATTCTAGCAAAAAGAAACTTCCTGGATACTGTATCAAATGCTTTCCTAATATCATATTTAGCACAAAAAAGATCCAGCTTGTATTGCTTCTTGAAAAGATTAATAATTTCCATAGCCAAGATGGAGTTATCAGAGATAACTCTATTGGGAATAAAAGCTGCTTGATTGATCTCAATGATATCAGGCATATTGTTTTTCATACGAGCCGCCAATATTTTTGCAATAATTTTGTGAAAGACATTGCACAGAGAAATTGGCCGAAAATCATGTAGGTTTTCAGCATGAGATCTCTTAGGAACAAGTGCAATTGCAGTAGCCTTGGCACTGATAGGTAAATAGCATTTACTAAAAAAGAATTTAATGGCCTTACAGACTAGAGGGCCAGTAATGCTCCAAGTTTTTTTATAGAAATCAAAATTAAACCCATCTGGGCCCGGCGCCGAGTTAGAACTTCCAGAGTTAATAGCTAAACGGATTTCCTCATTAGTGACAGGCTTCACTAAAGAATCAAAAGCCTCTTCAGATATAGTTTTGCCTTTAGGAATAATACCAACATCATTTATTTCAGGAGGAGCAGAATTGTAGAGATTTTGGAATTGCTGGATAATACTTGGAATGTTACTATTCTCTTGATCATGGTGATGTTGAGTAGCAGCCACAAGAGAACTACCATTAAAAGCTTTTCTATTCCTGATCTTGGAATACAAAAACTTCAAATCTTCCTCTCCATTTTTTAGCCAATTAATTTTCGATCTCTGAATAATCCAAGAAGCATGAAGTGAGTTGTAGTAATTGATTTCAGCCGTGATCTTTTTGAGATCTCCACATAGTTCTCTATTAAGCGGATCATTATCAACCATCCTTTGACATCTACTTTGTTTTTCAGCCAATGAAGCACATTTTTTAGCAATAAGATTGGAATTACTCCAATTTCTAGCTTTTATCTCTCTTTTTAATAGCTTCAACTTTTTGTATAGGCTGACAATAGGATTCCCTGAATTTGGGATTTGAAAAATATTCAATAAAATGCTCCATAAATTCGGAATATGGCTCCAATAGTTTTTATACATAAACCTCTTTTTAGTATTGAAATTATGGTGATCTATAAGAATAAGAGGAGAGTGGTCTGATACCAGACTACTCAACACTAGATAGTGAGAGTTAGGATAATGATTAATCCAAGCCTCGTTAACTAATACCCTGTCCAGTTTTAGATGAATAGGATTGTCTAGCCTTTGGTTGAACCAAGTGTGAAAGTTGCCGGATGAAGGAAGTTCTAACAGATTATTGTCAAAAATAAAGGAGTTAAACAGATTTAGCCTATCAATAGCTAAGATATTCCCTCCTTTCTTCTCTGATTGAAATCTGCATGTATTAAAGTCACCAATCACCACCCAAGGCAAGGAACCTTGAGGATTAACAACTCCCAAATCAGCCCATAGCTTATTCCTCTCATCAAAGGAATTAGAAGCGTACACAGCTGAAAGAATCATAAGAGATTGAGATCCCATCATCAATTGACCAGAGATCATTTGCGAGGAAGAAAAATTGGGAATAAACAAAATTTTATCTGAATTACATTTAATCCAGATTCGACCAGGAGAAGCCATCTTAAAGTTATTAAAACTTTGTTCATTGTCAAAAACCTTGTGAGTAGAACAAAACCAAGGATCCAACAGATTAGAAGAATTGATACGGTTCTCAAAAATACAAATTAAGTCAAGCCTATGCTCATTAACCAGGTTCCTACAGCAGAGAACTTTATCAGGGTTATTAAAACCCCTGATATTCCAAGCTGCTATGGATGGACAAATCATGAATGACTAGGATTTTTGATAAGGGCCTTTCCGGTTGCCCTTTCCCCTAGTTTGTCTTTGAGAAGAAGGATCAGAAGAGTGCAACTTATTAGAAGTTGAGACTTCCAGTTTATCATTTTTATACTTAGCTGTAGATTCTATAGGATCACCCGTATCCTCACCAGGCATAGTGGAGGAGGATTCTGCTTCATTAGCATCTTGAAGGACACTAAATTTGTTAGAAGAGAAAATATTTAAAGCCTTTTGTCCTTCAGAACCAACCGTAGAAGCATGAGGAATTCAAAGAAGTGGGTGAATTGAGATTTGGAATCTTCATGTTAGTCCCTGTCAGAATAGGAGTAGGATCTTTAGACCCTAATAGAGTGCTAGACTCAACATTCAACGTTGTCTCAATGATCTCGTTGACAGGTTGAATACCAACCCCATCCTCAGAAATAAGCCCCTTGGTTTTAACGTTATCAGCTTGATTAGCTAGAATAATGTTTTGATTAGAATTATCAACAACATTATTATCTAACCTTGGAACATTCATGTCATCTCTATTCACAGAGATATCACCATTTTTCTCTAACGGATCAGTAGCCAGTTCAGGAATCGTGTTAGAAGAATTAGGAAAAGGAAGTAGACCTTTCGGATTTTGTGAATGCGGTCTTGGTCTACGACTCTTGCTTCTTCCCCTGGTTGGGTTAGCTATAGGATTTATATCAGATTTTGGATTTGCAGAGCAGTTCGAAGTTAAATGGTTCAACGATCTGCAGTGGGCACAAAGGGCAGGCCGCCATTCATACTGGATTTTAAGATTGAAAATCTTGCCATCCACACATATCGGAATAATTTCCGGAAAAGTCGTCGTAGCATCAACTTGGACACAAACTCTAGCGTAAGTTAGTCTAGATTTAGAAGCAGTGAGAGCATCAACAGCTAAAGGATGGCCAACTTTAGTAGCTATTTTAGAAATTCCAACAGTGGTCCAGCAACATAGAGGAAGATCGTGGATCTTAAACAAGATCGGAACAGAGGTGAGTTCTTCACGAATAGGAGAAAAGTGAGGAGTCCATTTTTGAAAGATAAAAGGTTTTCCAAGAATATACCAGACACCTCTAGACCAGACAAGGTCAAAGTCTTTTGCACTAGAAAACTTAAACAGAAAAAAACCGTCACTA